CATGAGTGTAGAGAATAATGAATTCTAAAGTTTCAGTCTCATAATATAAAAGAGCATCCAAAAGTTAGAAATTTTGTATCTGACAAAACTTGAGGGAATGAAAAAGGGGGGGGTATTTCAAAAAACTCTTCAAAAAATTAGCAAAGTTTTTAAGTCTGCATGATGTTATATAAAAGTAACATCTATGAGAAAAACATTTATGTAGAATTATAGAAAAGTGGGAGGATTATGTTAATATATATATAAATTGTAAAAATTAAAGAAAAAATATATAATATTTAATTGTACCAAATGTAATACAAAATAAAATTTGAGATTTTATTATTTTCTTAATATTAGAATAATTTACTTAATATTTGGTATGTTCCATAAACTAGAAAAATTTTAAAGAAACTGTGCGAATCATGGAAAAAAAAATCACCTATAATATACTTTAAAAACACTGATAAATTTATAAAATAATCTGAATTAATATTAAAAATTTTCTTATCTGAAATAATCTATGCACATTTAGTTATGTTATTGTTAAACACGAATATCATTTAAAATTTTTTAAAGGAAAAGAAAATATTTTTTTGCCCAAGTAAATTAATCAACGTATTATTTATATTTTGTGTAAAAAAAGGTACGAAAATCCTAGTTTAAATTATCTCATAAAGATGCAACTTTCTTGTTAAAAACAAAGTCAAAGAATGTCTGTTATGAAAGAATGTTTCTTAATTCATTCTGCAATTTCCTGTACACATCGTGAAGAGAGAAATTCTCATCGCCAAAGCCCTTGGCGAATTTCTCCCTCCGCGATGTAGCAATGCAGTTGTCAAACTGGTTTACATTAAGTCTATGGAACCTTTCCTTCTGTACATTGATGTTCTTTGAATGAGCTCTGCCCCTCTTACTGTATTAGTTAACATTACCTTTCTTAATATACTTTTTGTAGTAAAACTGATTTTCAGTCCTATGGGGCAATTTTCTCAGAAGGACTATAAATTTTGTTTTGGCATTTTGCATTCACTACAAGCGTTGTTTCACTTTTCAAGTTGTTGCCCCCAAATATTATAGCCCTGTATTATATTTAAAGAAATTAAATAATGAAGAATCTGCATAAATGTATGTGTGTTTCTTGCTTTGTGATAAAACAACGGTACCTAGAGCCATCAAATTTTGAGCAATGTAATCTGGAAGCCCAAATTTGAAATTTGTTTTATTATCATTTCATATTTTGTAAAATTTTAATGAATTTTGATTAGCAAGCTCAAGTATTTCAAAGAGAGCAATGGCAATGTTGTACAGAAAAAACACATTTTTATCTCCAGTGCACAAGACTGTGTATTGGAAGTTCTAAAGATTATTTTTCAATATTGCTCTTGAACTGAATTTTATGGTTTAGTAAAATGAACATGATATTTAATAAATAAAGGTAACATACAAAATGTTAAAAAAAATGCCCCTTTGGATGTAATTTGAAACATTTTAGATTTTTTATTTTTTTTTAATCTGTTAACTTGGTTTAAAATTAATTGGTTTCATTTATTTATACGATAAAAAAAAACACTTTTATTTTTTTTATTTAATTGGATTTAGTTTTTTTTTTAAGAGGAGAAGGGAAACTAAATAATATATATCTAAAGAAAAAAAAAAATGATTACGTTAGGTTATCTGAGTATAATAAAGCATATGAGAGCTAACTGCTTATGGGGAGTTTATTACATCTTATTTTATTTTTTGGGGGGGGGACATATAGTATAGATATGTTTCTGCAAATTCAAAAATCAGTTTTTTCATTTCTTTAACTTGTTCCACAACTTTTCTCACTGTGCAAGAAACTTGCCAATTCTGATGTGAAACTTGAAACATATCAAAGGACTTGTGAGGGAAGCATTTAAATTCATCAAAATGATTTAAAAGTTATTAATATAATCTTTGGCTGTTACTCCCTTAAAAAATTACATATCTGAAGAACCATTTGATGAATATATGTTTTATTTGTTAATGCTATTTGTAATTTTTCAAAGAAAATTAACCAATAGTTGTAGTATCTTTTGTGTTTTATTTATGAGTACTGTAAAGTTACTTTTCTTGTGTGCCCATGGCTATTTCTTAGGAATCTGTGAAAATTTTTATATTATTAGTTTTAAACATAGTTAAATTACTTTGATTAATTATGAGTTATGCCAGTTTGCAAGTAAAACAAAGTGCCTATAAACATATTAAATTTTGGTATTACTGATTATTTAAACTTTCAGCATTAATTCACTTTGTTGATCTTGATTTTCGAAGAACTATTGCTTGATATTATGTGTTATTGCAAGAAACTATTTTTTAAAGCAATTGCTCTACATAGCAATTTTGTAATAATATCATATTCTTGCAGTTTCATAGTTTCTTCCACTGTAGGCAAATCTGACAAGAACATTATTTTAAAACTGAATTTTAAGGCCAAAAAATATCATGTGTGTAAAAATCATCAGAATCTGGAATGCAATAAAAAGAATGCACACAGAAATAGCGATACTGCTTGTTAAAACTGAAGAACTGTTATATTGGCACAGTTGTCAGAATATGCCCTATTTTGAAAATTTGGCAACTTCTACTAAAGTAGTTACAGTAATGAGTACTCTGATTTGAAGCCAAACAGAAGTTGCACTTTCCTCTATTATTAATAAGAAAACACCTTAGCACATATTAAAGATTTAACCTTTGAAACTTTTACTGCGAATCACCTGCTTTAAAGTTTGCATTTAAATAAACTCAGTTCCAATCAGATACTATATTTATGAGATTAGCGTCAGAAGCACAACATTTTTATTCAATATAAAATTTCAGTTGACAAAGGCAGGTGCCTGCCAAAGATCTGACCTTACTTATATTTTAATATGCTTTGAGCAAGTAAATCAAGATTTTTTTTTAAAATGGATAAAACAGTTGCATAACTGATTTTCTATAATCATAGCATTTATTTTTTTTCTATACTTCCATTGAGAAAACCTGTAATAGATTACCTGAATAAGGTAATCTTTAAAGGAAGGCTCGACTCCAGCATTTTCTGTTAAGTAATTAACTATAGTTAATGCTTCTTATAAATATATTAATAATTCAAAGCAAAACATAAGTTTACTTAGTTCTCACTTGCGATAACTTAGCTGGCACTCCTGTATTAGGCAACTGCATTGACTTCACTACTGCTGGAGATAACCCTGTTCTATAGACTTCCTGCTCTACTTAATCCAAAACTTTTAACTGACAATACAAAGATCCATAGATGGAAATGTATGGCAATCATCCTTTTCACTCCTCTTGGTTTCTTCCCTTCCTTCATAAGAAATAGTAGGAATTGTAAGAAATTCATAAGCTCTGAAAGTTTCTCAGATCCTCCATTTCCATTATAAAGGTGTATTTGCTACGGTTTAAGAGCTATCTATTATGAGTTGGATAAATGTTTATAAAACTGTGATTACTTGTATATGTAAACATCTCAAAACACAAGGCAACAAAGACAAGCAGAACATGTAAAAAACTCATACTCAGCTAAAAATTTATTGAATATTCTTCATACCATAGGACACCATATAAAATAATTATCCTTTTGGAACATATTTAAGTTAACTATTATTTATCTGTTTACTATGCCGGTCTGTGGAGCCAGGAAATGCTTGCGAATTCAAAAGAGTTGAATTACTTGAATTCATCACCAAAGAGCTTTTTTGTGACAAGGTAAATTATTTCACTCTCCCGAAACAGACTCAAGTTCTATCCTTGATCGTCTTCCAAGAACCTGATATTGCACTTCTGTTTTAATCCACAGATTTCGCCAGAAGCAAACCTCCATTAAAGCATGGAAAAGTCCAGAGACAATGAACTATAAATCAACAACTGTTTCATGGCTGCCACAGAGGTGTTGTTTTGGATGTGACAGGAATACACATCTCTCTCCACCCACCTGGGGAAAAAAACTGGTGAACGTCATTCATGCAACTCATGGCACCTCACTCAAGTGTTCAACGGGTTGAACTAGACATGCTACACAAATGAAGCTGAATACTCCCCATCAATGCAATGATCATCCACATCAGGATATTAGGCTCAAAACAAATCATGATGACAAAATCACACTTCCTCATCATTATAACAAAAACTGTGGGAGGTTATATATGGCAGTCTACAGAGCCAGTAAATTCGAAAGAGTTTAATTACTTGAATTCATCACTGAAGAGATCTTTTTTGACTAAGCAAAAAATTTCCCTCTCATGACACAGACTCTGTCTTCCAAGGACTTTGCATAGTACTTCTGATTTGACCAATAGATATCACCATGAGAGCAAGGCCTTTTTAAAATACCAAAAGTCTGCTACCAAAATACTGTTAAAATACCAAAAGTCCAGAGACAGTGAGCCATAAAACAATAATTGATCCGCTGCTGCCACACTGGATTCTTATCTTTAATTTCATTATTACTGAAGCTAAATATTCAAGCTTTTATGACTGATGCTAGCAGACCTTTCTTCTCATCTACCAAAAATAATTATTGTTCATACAATACAGATTCATGAAAAACAGCATGTATCAATTTTAATTAGAATTACATTTATTAGGTTAAATGCCTCAGTTCATTTGTTATAAATTTTGTAGCATTTGGAGCTGCAGTTCAACCAGTATAATATTTTAAGCATATGTAAACAAGGAATATTAAGGATCATAAGTAAGTGACTAAACTAACCACGCACATATTGTTTGAGTGAAAGAAGTCAGGAAAAGATTAATTACTTACGGAATCTTTATTTTTAATTAGTAGATTTCGATTTGGATGTTTTTGCAAATTTACTTAACCATGAATTTATGCAAGTTGCATATTATCTAAGTCAATGGTTACTATAAAGTTGAAAAAAATAAAATACCCATAAACATTCATACAGCTTCAATGCTTTCAAAACACTTATATACTATAGGGTAAGAATTATCAATTCATCATAAATAAGATTTGAAAGACTTATTTAAAAAATTACCTGCTCAATATTTGCACGGCATTTCTCCAAAAGATATTTAGTTACATCCAAATGGCCATTTCGACATGCCATAAGCAGTGGTGTCGCACCACTAGTGTATGACGAAACTATTGTTAAAACTTCTTCTTTTGTCTTAGGACATAAGAGAGCCTACATAAAAAATAAATTTATTTTACTACCATTATAATCTATCATCAATATTGATACATTATACATAAGTCTAAAATATAAAGGAGCCTGACAACTAAATGAACACTTCCCATACTCACAATTCAGATCTCTGTTCATTTCTTGTAAAATTCTCATTTACAAGACTTCAGTACAGTTTATACTTAACTAATTCTGACCTATCTGGGCATTAAAAATTTAATCCACATTTAAAAAAAATCACATAAAAAATCAATTTTATCGAGAAAATAATTATAATGAGCTTTAATTTTAAACATAAAAATTATAATTATAATTCAATTACTACAAAAACAAATGAAACTGAATGAATTCTTTATTTTTTTCTTCAATATCAATGGCTCCCCTGATGCTTAACTCGCAACATCAATTTCAGTTGTATGGCTTTTAGTTAGTTGTCTTAAGATGAATATGAGCATCTGAATTTTCAGTAGTTAAACTGCTCCTGCTCTTAAAATAAATATCATGTGTAAAAATATTTGCTTGCATTTATAAGATGAACTGTGCAGAAAATCTTTCAAAGACATTTTTTTTTTTTTAAATTTAGGATTGTGTGCGGATACACTTCGCCAACCTTATCGATTTCATCTTGAAATTATATTACAATTTTTATTTTTAAAAATAAAAAAGGATGTTCATTACTACAATTTTGTAATCAAACAAAAATGTTAATATTTATTTTCAGTTTAATTTTTTTATGTATTCTTCAAGTGATCATTTCATGTCTGTTTTATAATTTATTTTTATGCATTATACTTTATTTTTGGAGCAGGTGACTTGAAAATATGAAATGGGTCACTTGTGACCTGCAGGTCATAGATTGCCAAGCTCTGGCCTATACTCATTTCAATACACTTGTTTAAAAACTGGGACAAAATTACTGCTTTAAGGAAAAGGGCTAACATATTGTGTGAAATGCAGTCGATTGACGCATACTGTATTAAGATATTGCACCAAGTGATAGCATTTTGTAAGTAACAGGAAGAAGAACAGTAATAGAGAAGCCATCATTTCATACAGTCAGTCAATATGGAATATTTTTAAAAATGTACGGATGTCCTTGCATTGGTTCCTCAAATTCATTTTCCGTGTTTTTTGCAAAAAACAACTTATTAGCAAAAGCTCATGAGAGGAAAACAGTATTATAAAGAGTTAAAGGATAATTTAAAGCTTCTAAAGCCTACACCTCTCGGTCCAAGCAAGCTTTGTGAGCTTAAGACACTAATCAAGTCTTCTTAACCCGTTCAGGACCAGCATCGCGACACAACTATTCCACTCCTACCAGCCTGGTGTCCTGTACACGAGATGCAACGATTCTGCTCCTATGAGCCCAGCGTTGCATATACATGACATAAAAACGGAATGATTTATTTCAATTTTTAAAAGCCAGTAAATGGAGCTAAGTGGTAATTGTTTTCACAAGAATTGATTCACATGGCATTTGACCTTCATGTACTGCCATTAGTTTCTGTTTTGTGCTTCTGGTTTTCAGAGATTTATTGAAATAAACAAACTGAAAATCCCGGCTCTTTATAAGTGCGCCTGTGAATTAAAAGGCGTTTTTGTTTATTTTGTTAGGATTTTCTTTCTTTCTTCCTTTTTTCCCCCTATTTATTCTGACACTTAACATAAGGTTTCTTGGTTAATTAACCCCTTAACTGCCGTGGGCGTATATATATGCCTTGCTCAGCTGATGTGTTAACTGCCAGGGGTAAATATATACGCCTTGCTCAGCCGATGCGTTGACTGCCACGGGCGTATATATACGCCCTTCCAAACTACTATCATTTGCTTTGCGCTGCTACCCGTAAAATTATTTGCAAAGCTTTGGAATACAACACCACAATGACCTTGACAAAGTATGCGAAGGAGGATACTATTTCAGAGAAGGGTGTGTCTAAAGCGATGAAAGTAATGACTGGGTGGTATTGGCTGGTGTTGTTTGAGTAAAACTTTTTTTTTTAATTATTATTCTGTGTCCTCCGTTTTCGTTTACTTTTTGTAGTAGGTTCCAGGAATAAAGAAAGATAACGAATAACGAATGTTTCAAACCCATTTATCTTTTTTGAATTATTTTTTGATGAACTGCTCGTGCTTCGTATTGTTACTGAAACTAACCATTTTGTAGACGAGTATATAAACCAACACCTTGCAAAGGAAAAATCAAGAACATAATCGTGGCATTCAACCAGTTAAGAAGAAATATATGTTTTTTTAGGCATACTGATTTCACAAGGTTAACACTGAAACCTGATATTACACTTTACTGGTCTAAAAATGAATTGATCGAAACTCCATTTTAGGATCTTTTCTATTATAAAAAATCATTTTATTTACATCTTTTATTACAGTTTTACTCAAAACATTACTTTTTGTGCATTCAATTTTTTTTTTTTTTTTTTTTCTCATTTTTATTTTGTGAAAGTAAACAGTTTTTAGAAAGTAAAACTTGCACTTTTTTTCCCTCTAATACATCGCATAACGACGCACGCCTGTGTGAAAAACCGTGGAACTAGGAAATGAATCTTGTACGTTTACCGTGGCAGTTAAAGGGTTAAAAAGTAACATTACAACATTATTACAGAAGGGGAAAGACTATCAGCTTTCTCGACACGTATTGCTCGCATTTCTCAGGAGAGAGCCAACATTTTTGTTTTCTTATTTGATTTAATAGGTCATTATATATAATGACACAGGCATTATATTTTTGTATATAATGTATTTACTTTACATATAATGTAATTATATATAATGTATATATTGACATGATCAGTAACGGATATCCCGCCAGTGGGGGGTCTTTCCTTGATCACTTTCTGGTCATTGTGGATGATGTTTTCAATTTAGAAAAACAGGAAGTTTTCTAATATAAACCTGATGTCACACAGGGTTTGAGGAAGAAATATTTTTGAGTGTCTTTTGAAGTTTTGTGACATGTGTTGGGGTTATATTCAGTTTCATTCTGTTAGCCATTGCTAAGAGACCTTACTTAAAAACTTAAAAATTTGTTCAAAATCACTGGACACTCCCCCTTACCGTCTAACTGAAAGACAGTTTCTGAAAATTTACATTGACAGAGGAGGTAATAAAGGTAGGAGAAGATGTGTTGTGTGTGCTAAAACCAAGGAAAAGCGAAAGCAAACAACATATTTTGAGTGTGAAATATGCAATGTAGGACTGTGTCTTGATCCTTATTTTGAATTATTTCACACACAGCAGAATTTTTAAACTAGAATTTAATTACATACAAGTAATTCTTGTTCAGTTTTTTTTTATTTCATATTTGTAAATTTTTTTCATGTTTGTAGCATTTATTTCTGTGTGTATATAGTTATGATTTTAGTATTTTGCCTGTTTAATCTATTTCTATTAATGTGATATTCTTTATATTAATGCACATTAAAAACAAGTACATTAAATATACGCAACTTCAAAAATTGAAGTCATAATATAAAAATGCTGATTTTATACAATTTTTTTGTAAAATTAGGCTTAACTGCTGAAAATGTGCAGGCCGGTGGTAAGGATCCATTTCAGATGGTCCGGTAGTGATATTTTTATAAATTCTCTTTTCAACTATTTTTAGGATTCAAATTAATATTTTAATTTTTACTAATGGTAGTTAATTCTAATCATTAGTTTCATTTTACTACCATGCCTTCTACCATTAATTGTTTAAAAAAACCTACACCTCAAATGAAAGAAATTCAAGGAAGAAGGGCACAATTCTACTTTGATAGATTTTGTGTTCATGGGTATTTTTTGTTTTAAAAAAAAAAAAGCGTTCTTTGCATTGGAGTAAAAAGGCATTGGAGCAGCTGTAAAAAATCATTTTTACTAGCACTTTCAATGAAAACAACTGTTCAAAACAAACAAAAAAATTTTTTTGAAACTTTTTTTTTAAATCTCCCAAAAACTTAAAAATGTGGAGATGAGCCCTTCCTGCTGCAAGCCCTTCAATTTCTACATTACCTTCTCTTTTTATGGAAGTGCAAATAAAAAATTGATCCTCAGTTTTACTCTGCAATAAAAAAACTTCCAATTCTGTCTAAAAAATTCTCCAAAGTTCCAAACTGGCTTTGTTTTGGTTCATCACAAGGAATACACACCAGCAATAATCCAAAATTGAATCAGCTACACAAGCTTCATCTAGAACCAGAAAATTCATTAGTCGAATTTCAATCAATCCAACATTTAATATTTCTAATGTTAGTTTATCAGAGAAATAAAAGACAATTCTCAAATAGAATTTTAACTTCTCATATACCACTTTAACATATTTTTCACTCCCCTTGAAAAAACTTTCAAATTTCAGAAACAGACAAAGAACTGCTCAGACCTCTTACTGTCCATAATGTGAAATCTAATAATAAACCTTTAAGCCCTAACCTAAATGTGAGAGAAAAAGGTATGTTACATAAAATTCATTTTGAAAGCTTACAAAGGTCACCTTGGACAAAACCATTTACAATGACAGTGTCACAAGACTCTTCAAACAAGACCACTATAATATGATCTCTAAAGATCCTTAACATTTGAACCTATCAATAATAAAAACTGCAATTAAATCTTCACAAATTTTTCTGACTCATAAAAATTGCTTATCCTATCAGTTGTGAATTATGTCAGACTACATGCTCTTTTCAAAATTCATAAGTAGTATTCTACTCTGATCCACTGCATCAAATTTAGGCATTACCTCTTACCCATCAGCTAAATATTTAGTTTCTTAATTTTCGGCTTTGCTAGTTAATACCACTTATACCATAAATTCTCCTACAGAAGTAAGTGCATTGATGTTGGAAGAGGCTACTTTGAAAACTTAAATAAAATTCGTAAAATTTCTTAACTATAAAACTTTGAAAACCTATGTGTATCTCAAAAATTTCAAAGGGAACATTCACGTCAAAAAGACTGGAATGCCATAAAAATAATCATTAAATATTTAAGAATGATAT